CGTAAAAGATACTGGTCGTCTGATCTTAGTGATCTAGATGGAACATAAATCTGGATGAGATCACTAAGATATGAGGGAGCTTTGTTATTGACAAAGTAGGTCGGTGTTCTTTACATTATTACCTCACAAAATTATGCGATTCTCTTAAATGTAACAAGCAATGATAAAGGAAAATAATCAGAAATTATGCAAAAAATGATCAAATTATGGGGGGTGCATAAAACCACGGTCACAGATTAGAACTATGTGGTCCGGAGGGTGTGTGCTCCTCGCTTATGCAGAACATTTTATTTTTTTGTGAGGTATGTTTTAGTGTTCCGCGGCAAAACCCAGTATGTGACCTGTCATTCATATCTGATTTTTAAAATATAGATTTTTGTCGTTTTATCATAAAGTTTTATGGAGTGTTGATGTCTTGTCATTGTCCCCCTAACACCAAAATTGGCGCTCATATGACCTTATGCAGTTGCGAGCGCCGTAAAACATTTACGAAAAATTACTAACACCAAAAGTAGGTCGGTGTTCTTTACATTATTACCGAACAAAATAATCTGTCCCTTGTGACGGACCACTAACCCAGAGCGATGCCCGGCCCGGCATCGTTTACCTATGGCAGGAATTATGTACAGTGGAATCCACAGTCACCCTAACGTGGTTTGTCTGAAAATGGCACGCAACAGGGAAAAAAATGTTAAAATCCACCTTTTTTTTCTCCTTCTATTTTGGCAACACCTCGAAGCAGAAGAAAATCTGGTGGCCCCCGCAGGTTTGGGTTTAAGCCGGCTCCGATGTATATCGTGACTGTAACACCGTGTTCAGGAAAGGGTGGGTCGGGGGGGAGGATCATCTTTTGGCTTAAAAGAAACAAGTTTGAATTCCTGCTGCTGTCTTAATTTACCAAAAAGAAAAAGAAAAACAGGTTGTCCTTGCAAAACGGCAAACGTGTGATGGGAAGGCACCTTGCTCAATTACTCAGTTTTATGATTTGTCAGTTATTTCTTTAATTTTTTACAAATTGTGGTATGATTTACAATATCTGAAAGCACAAAAAAAAAGTTATGTCGTTATCATGGTGTGTGAGTTTGGCTGTGTGCGTAGTGCATCCCGCACGCACAAATGTGTGGGTTTGTCTCTATTTTTGGGTCACGGGGTGGCTGGCAGGGGTGTGAGGAGAAGGGGAGAGAAATCTTGTACTCTGGACGTCAGATATATCAAAGAGATTTGCTGGACGGGCACTCTCTGTCACTGATATTTATAACTGGAACCACTGTTGTGTTGAAAGTGGTCCTGTTTGCGTTTATCAATCGTTCAATCATTCGTAGACCATAGTTTAATTTTTTTACTGTCCTTTTCTTGGATGCCTTGATATATTCTAGTTCTAGTGTGTCTGTGAAATGTAATTGTTATAGTGTGTGTCTGTGAAATGTAATTGTTATAGTGTGTGTCTGTGAAATGTAATTGTTATAGTGTGTGTCATGAAATGTAATTGTTATAGTGTGTGTCATGAAATGTAATTGTTATAGTGTGTGTCTGTGTCAGTGAAATGTAATTGTTATAGTGTGTGTCTGTGTCAGTGAAATGTAATTGTTATAGTGTGTGTCTGTGTCAGTGAAATGTAATT